ATTGGAAATTAACCCGGAACCGAACTGTGACGTGGGTTTGTGACTGATTTTTCCTACTACAACATAAAATTAAAGATACACATTCTCAACAGTTTTGTTTTAAGTATTTTACCATTTCATGTCCAAATGCGAAGATTAATTAACTGTGAGACTATAAGAAGTTCGTTTGGGTAACATATTGGAACCATGACAAAATGTTACTTTTTTCTTCAAACAGACCAAAATATTCGGAAAAACATAATGTTATTCGTGACAGCATCAAATTGGAGCGAATGTATACTAAATACAACTAAAAAAACTCAATTTCATAAAATTTCAAGGGGAGGCGTGATTTTTCAGAGGGGTTTATAGACTTCTTAAAGAGGGCTTTCTCATGAGTCACAGCCATCCCACTCATGTAATCCCCCACGTTGAATGTGGGAAAGCGAAATTTCCCTCCATATTTCATTCATAGGACTGAATCCCAGACTAATGACTAAATACAAAAAACAGCCTTTTTTATATCAGCCCCCAGATGTGTGGAGCTGGGGGTTGCTGGACTGCACAATGTCATAGACCACTGCATCAATGTGGTAGATGAGGCCAGCAAGTATGTGAATCTGAAGTGACAAATGGTGGAGAAATAATGGAGAATGTGAAACTATTTTGTCAATGGAGAGGGCGGCAATTGTGTATGTACGAGAAAGGAATGACGCATTATCTCTGGTTACTTCCAGGGCTTATCAGAGAATGTGTCTGATAGAGAACAAAGCAGAAAGAAGGAGAAAGAGAAAGAATGGGGGAAGGTGTTGAAGGAATAGCTCACCCAAAAATAAAAATCCTGTCATTGTTTACTCACACTCGTTCCAAAAGGGAATTGGGGCTATCCCGTTCTTAACTGACACAAAAAACACCATATCCATGTGACTTTCCTCACTACTTTTCAGCTATTAACAGCACACACTGTTCTCACATTTCTCACGACCAAATGTACTCAAATTATGTTTGATTTGAGATAAAATGCTAAGTGAAAAACTGAAGCCATACTATAGTTTCAGTGAGAAACAAACTCAAAATTAGTGTTGCACTGACCATTTGTATCCCAAATCAAACATGATTTGAGCACATTTGGTCATGAGAAATTTGAGAATGGCAAGTGCTGTTAAATAGTATATGCATGTGTGCCATTTTTGTAGTCCATATGACTTTTGTAGTCCAGAGTTTATCAGTGAATAATGACAATATGAGGGTAAGCGAATCACAGCAGGATTTTCATTTTTGGCTGAACTTTTCCTTTCACTGTTGGTTCTGAGACTGTATCTGATCTAAAAGAAGTAATGTAGGCTACTCAAAAGTTCAGTAATTGTTGTGAAATGAGCAAGAATGCACAGCAAAATCTAACATACGACACAAGTTTTTTTGCTGTTTCTCTTTAAATCTCGAGTGGGAAGAATTGGTCAAGAAGTTCATGCAGGAAATGAGGAGGTTAGTAGAAAGTCTATAGTATACATGTAAGCTTTCAGTATAATCAAAACGGTCCCAAATGGCGGTTTCTTCCTGTGTTTATTTGTACCAAAAATCCCTGCTGACCACAACAACATCCATTGCCACGAAACACTCTTTTCCGTCTCTTTCTATTTTGCATAAACGGAAATTCTGATTTGACAACGAAAGCTGCACATTCAGATGCATCCAACTGTAATCTAAATTTTACAGCTTGAGACCTGTCAATGCAAGCTGCCAGGAGAAAGTTCACTTATTAAAGCCAGGCGATTCAGGCTGTACTCTAGATTGTGGCAAACACTAAAAAAACGACAGACTAAATCAATATATTTTCATGTACAGGGTTTGTTTTTGTGCATTACTGTCAGTCAAAGATTCCCACCACAGACGACGGTTGAGTGTCACGATAGGGGGCCAAATCGAATAACAAAGGACCCATCATTCAAAGTTTGTTGTGGCTGTGATAGGCTCGCTGTGTTTAACCAGCATTCTGACCAAAGGCTGTTTACTGAACACAACATGGTTGAGTCACTTCGGAGACAGACAACAGGGCCTCAAATGAGCCCCCAAAGAGTGCAAAACAACAAGCAATGGAAGAAAAAATAATCCAAGATTTTCTTTTAAATAACAACATGCCAGTGTTAATCGCTGTACTTCTGAGACACCACTGAAACTAATTTTTAAACAAAGATAATACAAACTTATCATTTCAACCACTCCCTTTGGAACTTTTCAAATTCAATCTAAACATTCAAATGTTTCAGCCAGATATTTATTGGCTTAAAAGCGCTAAGTTTAAGTTATGTTCACAAAAAAACAAAAATAGAGCAGGTCTGTCATTATTTCTGGTAGCTAAGGCTTTTAGACAGTTGGGCAGGGTCAAACCCACCCCCTCATAGGACACAGGAAGTCTCATGACCTCATAGGTCCAGCCTTTCCACCAAGCCAAGGATAACAAAGCACGAATATAACTTCTATTCTGAACTGTCAATGCTGAACTCTCTCGAATCTAAGGAAACACTTACTTTATTATAAGGAAACCTAAGAAAACACATTTTTTTATTGAAACTTTGATAAGCATTGACTACATGCAGATGAAATCACAGTGTTGTTCTTCTGAATTGGTAGGGATATGTAAAATGCTTCTCAGATATTAATGTTGAAGTTGGAAAAAGATCCCGGGATGAGTCAAGGTCTCCGCAGCTGGAATAATGGATTTATTTAATGGTCATCTAAATGTTTGTTGGTTTGACGCAAGTTCAATAATTCCAGTGGCCAGTGAGACTCTTTGTGTGACAACAGAGGGAATTTAATTACTGAAATTTAATGGCATTTTCCCACACCACCATAGCAGCATTCAGCTAAGGGAGTGTCTTTCCATCACTCTCAACCACAAATAACAACAGTAAAATGAATTGAAAGAGAAGGCTGAGCTGTGTAAAGTTTGTGTATTCAGCTAATGCGATTTTGCCAGAGTGAATAAAGTTCAAATTGATTGATTTGGCAAAAGCTTTGTGATCTCTGACAGTTAATTTGGAACATTTGGGTTAAAACTGTGATTTCAAGCTTTTTAACACTTCACTGATGACTTGAACACTTAATTGATGAAATTTCAGTCAATTGAATAAGAGAGTCGTCACAGCGGTAAAGAACTGAATGGCCCATTGAGGTCCATGACAATGCTTGAGTGATGAATAAAGACAACAGAAAACACAACAAACAAGATTATATATGTAGTTTAACTATAGTGTAGCAGTTTCGCCATACACTAAAAAAAAAAGGGGGTTAATAAAGCAAACATTTTAAAAACTTATTTTTAATGTTTTAATTTTGTATAACCTTTTTAATATTGTGAAACAAATGGTTTTGGAGTAATGTATAATGCATTAGTAGCCTCAACAGGGAAATGCCATTGGTGAAATGACCACTGTATGGAAAAAATATCACATATAAACTTCCATCTGGAATTGCACCTACTTCTTCCCGGGAACTATCATATCTGTATCACAGGAGCACCAGACATACAAGTGTCTGAAACAGGAGCCAAGAATCAGGGTGAGCCAGCAGTCTCTGTGGGGAGTATCAGAGTAGAGTGCTTGATTATCAGGCCTTTGTGTGTAAATGTAGGTAACATGCTGAGCCCAAGATATCCAGACACAGCAGGAGCGATGAGTCTGTCTGCTGGCTGGAGCTTCTCGTGAGGAGGTGGAGCCCCTCTGATATTGCCATTAGGGGAGCCTGAGGGCAAGAAGCAGAAAAAGACTGATAAAGCAACTGCGTTCACTTCTGACACCCCGGCCACTCACTGGAAAGCAGCAGAATGTGCAGAGCACTGAAAATGTGGGCCCCCATTGCCCTGTGAACAGGTGAACAAGACAGACCTCTCCCATGTGCTTAACGTCTGCCAGTAAAAATGAAAGCATGCAATGCTCGGTACTTTTTCCCATTTCATGTCATAGAACGATGAATCCATCTTCCATATGTTTTCAAGATCTCATAGTTGCATAATACCTACTTTAAGTGGTCATTTTTTTTTTACTAAAGTAGCAGCTATTTTGTTCCACGTTCAGAGAGGGGACACGGTGTTCCTCTGGAGTGCTTTGTTCGGCACGGCCCAGTATGACCTCATAGGTGTTTCTCAAGGAAATCCCTCTCCCTTCCAGGTACAATGACAGTGTTTCCTGTTTAAGAAAGCAGGATCCGACTCACACTCTCCGCTGCCTTATGTAATTCCAATGCAATTCCAAGACTGCTCATGTTTTACGTATTTGTGCATATACTCAAAATAACCAGGGTTATTTATTTATTTAGTCATACTTGTTTATGCGCCTGTTTGCACGTCAGAATGAAAATAGAGAATACTGTAGAGGTCAATAAAGCTCAAAACATCCTGCATTACAATTATGAGTCTTGTGTTTGAGTAAAAGGATGAGAAATGGTGAAAAATGTAGTTCTTAAAAAAAAAAAAAGAGTTCTTAAAAAAAAAAGAATTAATGTTAACTATTAGCATCAAATAAGTGAGGATGCAAGTCTCACAAAAAGAAATCTTTTAAAAAGAAATCTTTGAACTGTAATCTAAAAAAGGTAATGTTTCAAAAGTGGTCAAGTAAAAAGTACTAAAATACTTAAATCTTGAAATATTATTTTCAGTAAAGATTTTGAATCTGTTTTTTTACAGTAAAACCTTTTCACATATGTTTTGTTTGTTTTCTTACCATTTTTGATTATAAGCCCCACAAACATATATATCAAAATGCTTCTAACTCACAAAAAGAAAAAAGAAAAAGTTCTTCACGTAAGAAGTAGGGTATATTGACGTTATGAAGTGTGTATTTTTATGCAACCTTATAGATCTGAACAAAACACTGACCTATACAATGTCAAAGTACCTTCAAGTTAGCAAAGCAATTCATTACCCATACATAAGTGCTGCATCAGCAGCCACAGACAGAAGACGAGAAAAGGCGAATGCCAAGACCAGCCCACTTCAGGACGAGTCTTGATCCAAGGTTCAGCTCTCGTCAGTTGTACGCAGGACATGGGGGAGAGATAGTGGAGAAGAGGAGGATTTGTCTTTTCCAGCACAGTTCAGTGTTTCCAACTTAAACGGTAAACTGCGTTTATTTACACGAATGAGCGAGGTTACATTTGAATGTAGGCTAGATTAAAGTCAGTTTAGGAGAACTGAGCTACGGTGCAGTATGTAAACTAGAGTGGTTTTGCATGGACGCGGACTTTTCGTTCAGTCACAGACTGGTTAAGTTTGGTTCGACCATTTCGTAGTTTATAAAATGACTGACATTTGTCTTAATCCAGCCTGTGGGCACGAGTGCGTAAACGTTGCTCTGCTCGCGATACGCGCAACACTATTGTGACTATTTACCGAAATAATTATGCAGAAAATGTTTGCATCGTGTGATCGTCCAACTACGTTGTAAAACTGGTAATAATGGTTAAGAAACGGTAATAAACCGTTGAAAAATGTAAAAACGCGTAAGTAAACCTCTTAATTTGATAACTAGGATTTTCCTAGAGGCAACTGTAAATATTTCATATTGCAATAAACGATACATGGAAATTAACTGCAAATGTTTTTTTTTTAGGAAAAAATATATAAAGTAAAAAAAAGTATGACAATCTACGAAGGAAATGTGTATTTAACAAGGTATTGGGCTACAGTATAGGCTATTTTTACAGTAGCTACAATACCAAAATAGTGTTTTATCTGTAAAATCTCTGTATTATCAGTAGGCCAACATTTTACACTAACAAACAATTTTAACAGTTCAAATAGGCTGGTATATTGACATTCTATAATTTAATGTCACATACATACATTTCATGTCTGTACAATATACTTTATAATAGGCTACTCCATCACTGTATTATTTTTATGGTAAAGGTTTTGACAGCAACAGTTGCTAGTTTTTTTTTTTTTTTACAGCACTGTATATTTTTACAGTGTAGCCTACTGACTAATTCTAATACTGATGCTCAAACACAAATTGTATTACATTTTCTACAATTATTCCTTTGTTTTCTCAGAATTCCTAATTAAATGCAGTCTGTTTTTGTTTTCCTTAAATTGTAGAGTCATAATTAAATACATCCGGAATAAAATGTCCATTCTTTTAGATAAATTTGACAGGTACAGCTGTTTGTTTTGTTTTATTTTTATTAAAAAAAAATTTACATTACTGTATGTTTTACAGTATACTAATTCTAATACTCAAACACAAATTTTATTACATTTTCTACAATTATTCCTTTGTTTTCTCCAAATTCCTAATTAAATGCAGTCTGTTAAAATGGCCATTTGTTTAGATAAAAATTGTTTACTGTCTACTATGTCTACACTGAAATAAAATATTGACCATGAAAGAATAATTAAACAATTGAAACAGAACATGATAAATGCTAAATATTCTAATAAATATGCTTTTTTTAAAAAAACAATTTATGTTATGCTTAATTTTTCTAAGTGTATGTTTATATATTTTGTTTGTCATTAAAATATGTTTACCATAATTATTGAACATTATTTTCTAATGCTTTATTTCAGTTCCCTCTGGTGGCCTTTGAGGATATAGCAAAGCTGTGATTTGAGCATCAAGAAGGAAATAAGTGAAAATTTCAACACAAATGAGCCTACAACACAAGGATTTATTGCTACTATGTTAAATCCTCTTGAGAGTTGTTTTCTGTGCTTTGCTGGAATATGGCAATAAGAGGGACTACAGAGATCCTTAAGAAACGTCTTTAAGGACAGCAAAAGAAACCGGAAGAATGGAAGCTTCATACGCTGCTAGCGCCGCCGTTGCTCCAACTCTGCCACCGATCACCTCATCTCCAGGTTACCTGCTCAGAATGTTTCGGGAGTATCAAAGCAACGCCGTCATCATGGCCCATTACAACTTCACCGGAAAGCTGAAAGAGAACAAATACCGGGACGGACTGAAACCCGAGGCCATTGTGTTTCTCATCATCTGTCTTCTCATTGTGGTGGAAAATGCCATTGTTTTGGTGGCAATATGGAAGAACAAAAAATTCCACATGCCCATGTACTACCTGCTGGGCAGCTTGACGCTCTCCGATTTGCTTGCAGGCTTCACCTACATGGTGAACATCGTGACTTCGGGCGCAAACACTCTCAAAATGACTCCAGTGCTGTGGTTTCTTCGAGAAGGTGGCGTGTTTATCACACTTTCTGCATCTGTCATCAGTCTCCTCGCTATAGCTATCGAGCGGCATGTCACGATGGTCCGGATGAAGCCGTATCAAGGGGCCAAGCGTGGCCGAATGTTCGGTTTGATTGGTGCAAGTTGGGTTCTTTCGGTGCTCCTCGGCATTCTCCCGATCATGGGCTGGAATTGCATTGGACGTCTGGACGAATGCTCCACCGTCTTGCCTCTTTACGCCAAGAGCTTCATCCTCTTCTGCATTACCGTGTTCACCCTGGTGCTGATGTCCATCGTGGTGCTCTACGCACGCATCTTCCGAATTGTGAAGTCCAACACCCAGCGGTTAGGCTGCGGTCCTCAGCGCAAAGGTCTGGCCAGGAAGTCCCAGAAGTATCTGGCTCTGCTGAAGACGGTCACCATCGTTCTCGGGGTCTTCATCGCCTGCTGGTTGCCTCTCTTTGTGCTCCTTCTGCTGGACTTCTGCTGCCCTGCTCAAAGCTGCGAGGTGCTGTTGAAGGCGGACTACTTCCTGGGTGTCGCCATGATCAACTCGCTCCTAAACCCCATCATTTACACCCTAACTAGTAAAGACATGCGGAGAGCCATTCTGAGACTGGTCTGCAGCTACTGTCTGATATCAAAAGATGGACAGGTGAAGAAGTTTGGCATGCCTTTCCTGGACTGTAGCACCAGTAGGGTTGAGGTGCCGTCACAGAGGCTGGAGGGCTTGGAAACGACGGTCTCTTCTGGGAACTTCACACCATCCACTATTAAAGCTATTTACCCGAGGATATTGAAGAGCTGAGGAAGAACAATGCATTAAGTTCAAACTGACAATGCAAGCCTTAATGGACTGTTTAACTTCTCCTGGTTCAGGTTGAATATTTATAAAACTGCCCAATGTACAAGTTTGAGGTGCTTGAAGTATGAATTCAGGAGACGTTGGATGAGATTGAACTCATAAATGTTGTGTTTTGGACTTCAGAGTAGAAGACTTGGTTTCCTCTACATGCATTAAAGCAAACCACGAGGCTACCAGAGAGCGTGGTAGACCAGACAAGTGGATTTTTTTTTTACTGTGATAAATACCAGTGTTTAAAATGGATTGTCTGTGGGTCAGACTTGCATTACAAGAGCTACGGTGCCTTTTTAAAAATAGGATTTTAAACAGCAAACAATAAGCAGTTGTACAGCTGAATTGAGCAAATACGCTTTGAAAAGAACTCTTCTGATGTTATACGAGACTCGTGTGAGAATTCTCAAAAATAATGAGCTTGTGTAGCGAGTCATTTTCACCTCCAGTCCAAATAGCAGTTGAAATGTTCAGAGACTTTGTGGTGAAAAGATGCAAAGAAAATGACGGGTTGATGCCTCCACACACAAGCACATTAGTCCTCGGGCATTTTAAGAATACATATGCATGCAAATAAAAACTGAAAAATGTTTTCCTCTTATAATGGTATTTTTGGGAAATACATTTTTCATGTTAAAGCTCCCCTTAAAAATGTAAGTGTGCTATACTTTTCTATATTTGCTTACACAGGAAATATAGTTTCAATGACTTAAGGTGGCACAAGCTATATAAATATTGTATATTTTATAAATATTGAAACAAAGTTTTTATGTTGTTGTATGGAATGGCATCATTTATGTGTAGCAGTCTGCAGTGATAAAAACAGCACTGACATTCAAGCAATATTGCATTTCTGTAAAACTGTCTGTGTACACGATGCATTCATGTGTTTAAATGTATTTTGTTGATCCTAAATTATGAGCCTTAAAAACAAATCTTTTATAAGTGCATTAATTAAAAGTGTTTTCTTGAATGTTTGCTATTTGGTTTTGTTTAGTCCCGTATTTTTAGGAAAAAGTGATTTATTTTGCACTACATAGATTAGTTTGCTTCTATAGATTACATTTAAGCGCTGCCCTTTGTTTCCCATGGAAAATAAAATAGAGGGTGAAAGAAATATACATATGTAGGTGTATGTAAATACATACATTTTGCTCAGATGCAGTGGAAAACCCATCCACTGTTATGTTCAGAGCAAATTTTTCTGGAAATTTGCATTGAGTTATAAAACGGCGAATGCACAAATCTAAATGGTTAAAGTGCATATAAGAATTTGAAAATAATGCTCTCACAGTGAGTCTAGCTGATTTCCAGGTGCCTCAATCACACTCGCACCACATGTTAACCAAGCATAAACTAAACGATATTGTGGTTTTGTCTTTTCACACGAGCCACACACACACAATTTTCTGTTCTGTCTTTGCAAAAAAAACCCTACAGAAAAAAAGGTCATAAGCTCGTGCCAGTCCGGATGTTTATCGAAGCTGAAAAGGCATGTGTCTGCATCTCAAGGGCATGATGTGACTCATTTTTGAAGTTAAACGAGCAAAGGTTAAATTGGTCACGCAAACAGAGTAAGATGACTAGGCTTTGGAAAGAATACCCATCCATATGCATTGACAGATATTAAACATCCCAAAGTATTGAAATTAGAAATAGTGAAAGTAGTGTAGTGAAAGTAATGAAAGAAAAGATGAGGAAAAAAAAAATAGGCAAGTGCCTTACACGAAGCTCCGGGAAATGATATAAGATCATTCTGAATGAAAATGAAACCATATCTGAATATATGTTATATCAACATCCTCGCACTTTATATTTAAAAACATCTATTAAAAATATTTAAATTAACCTTAGGCAGGAGCTATATAAAATGAGTGATTTATTAATAACCTAACTAAATATACACACATCTTTAAAAATAAATATACATCACTAACATACCTCCATAGTTTCAGTTAAAGAGTTTTTCATTTTTAGTGGCATGTCAATAAATCCAAAAAAATTGGATTTTGTCCGACAGCAAAAAATATACTATACAATAAATGTAACCATTAAGAAATAAGCACGCCAAAACTAAAAACAAAAAAGCAGTATGAACAAACAAAACGCCTGTTCACACCGAAAGAGAAACTCTTTCATGTTAATGCATGTTAAAACCCATCTATCTCTATATTTTTAAATATGCTGCATGTCCTTTTCATTAGTTTTTCCTTTGTAATACTTGTCAGAAATCTTGAAATATCTCACTATAAATTATCCAATAAGTATTAAAAGAATTCATTTCATTACGTTTCATCACAATGTTTGCAAAAATGGATTTTAAATTTCATAGGAAATTCCCTGCTCCATGGAAATAGAAGGTGAGCCTTTTAACAGAGAGCAAATTATAACAAAACTCAGAAAATGCTATTCTAGTAATGCAAAAAGTGCATTTTCAGGCTGTAGGGGGAATTTTGTGAACGCATAGTGACATCTTGTGGTGTGCAAGTCAAGGGGGCAACTGAGGCTAATTTATTAACAGAATTATAAAGACACATACACGCATAAAAACAAACAGTAATTTAGCTAACACTGTTCATGTGCACCTGGTCTACCATTCAGTATTAACCAGGCTCCACAGGTCATCGCTGATCTCACAGGCAGAGCGGGTGGATGTGTCTATGTTAAAGGGGAGTTGCCACATCCGTGCCGTAGTGCACTGCCAAGAGACAAAAGGGATTTCATACAGTTTAGAACATGAAACCGTTATGTTATCATCATCTTCTACAGTAAATGTGTCAGGATTACCTCCTCTCAGTATGTGCGGCTCTGTGTACACCTCCAACTTTACCTTGGTTACTTTAAAGTAGAGCTGAGTGACGTATCTAAATCAAGTGAGCAGCAAAACAATACAATAAAAGTGCAATAAAAGTCACTTTTAAGGATTAAGCACACCAAGACTGAAACAAAAGCAGTATGAACAAACAAAACGCCTGTTCACACCGAAAGAGAAACTCACTTTCATGTTAATGCAAGTTACAACCCATCGATCCCTATATTTTTAAATATGCTGCATGTTCATTTTATAGAAATTATTTTTTCTTTATAATACTTTTCAGAAATCTCTCTCTAAATTAGTATTCGAAAAGTATCAAAAGAATACTTCAATCATTACAACCTTTGCAAAAATTGATTTTAAAATTTTATAGGAAATTCCCTGCTCTATGGAAAAATAACATCCAAACATAGAACTTGATTTTCCACTGCATATTATTTTTAATAACACCAGATTTCCACAATATTTCGTGAAGGAAAAAAAAAAATGCAGATTACTTAAATTACCGATGCTCAAGGCGGCAACAAATGCATTAAGAGCTGGGGTGTGTAAACTTTTTTGAATTAGATGAACAGGGTAAATTGTCGTTATTTTGTCTTCGACGGGCATGTACTAAATGGAGAAAAAAAAAAAAATCAAAATGTTCAAAAGTTTACGCCCCCTGCTTTTAATGCATTTTGTTTCCTTCTTAAGCATCAGTTAATTTTCACCTTTTGTAATATTTGTGTATGAGCCCCTCAATTGTTCTTAGTGTAAAAAGATCTCTAAGCGAGATCCCAATTTCGTCGGTCATCCGACGTGACGTCTCCGTTCCCTCCTTCAGGGAACGAGGGTTACCATACGTAACCGAGACGTTCTGAAGAAAGATTAGTTCACTTCCAGGTTAGAAATTGCATGATAATTTACTCACCCCCCATGTCATCCAAGATGCTCATGTCTTTCTTTCTTCAGTCGCAAAGAAATTAAGTTTGAGGAAAACACATTTTTCTCCATATAGTGGATTCCTATGGTTCCCAATGGGTTGAATTCACACTATATGGTGAAAAATACTGGAATGTTTTCCTCAAAAACCTAAAGAAAGAAATATATGAACATCTTGGATGACATGGGGGTGAGAAAAATTATCAGGAAATGTTTATTCTGGAAGTGAACTGGTCCTTTAATTGCTCAGGATAAACAAGGGACTCACAGACAACTATCACAAAACATGAAAAGAGTCGTGGGTCATATAAAAAAAATGACCCAATAAAGTACATACCCTTTGAATTTGAACTGTCTGTCATTACTTATAAGTTCAGGCATTTTGTCTTGTGGAGTACACATGTAAACATCTGTTATGTGAAATAGCTTATTCAGGACAGTACTAAATAAAACAACATGCTATTGATCCTCTTATTTTGTAAAAATTATTGAAATTGTGGATATTCTGCAAGGGGTATGAACTCAGGAGCAGAAAATCACTAATTTCTGTTTACATTATTTGCCCTTTACAGTTTACAATATTGTTTAAATGAAATAAAAACCATAGCAAAATTCAAAGTAATCACTTTGGTAATCAAAAATACTTTTCGAATGTGACTAATTTGATTACTACCTATTAAAAACTGTAAAGACATACAGTTACTCATTTTGTATTTTAAATACATAACTAAGTTACATTTATTCCGTTACTCCACAACCCTGTACATGATAGTGACAGCGATTTCTGGTAGCCAATGTTGACATTTGAAATCACCAAAACAAACACGCCCCTACCCCAAAAGGATCTCGCCCCTATTTTGATAGCTCCGCCCCACACATACATACGCAACCCAGGCAATGATTAGTTCTGTGAAACAAAGCAAAACCCATCACGAGTAGACACGCCCCTTATTGCTGATTGGCTACAAGTTTGTTTTGCTATTCGGCCCCAATCAGTTTTCTAAAGCGTTTTTGAAAAAAAAAATTATAAATCGCTTACCCCACCTTTAAGACAAGTCATGTCACTCGGCGGCCATCTTTGAAACGCCTCTTGGGCATGCAAGTGCAACTCCTATCCCTTTGAATGGGGAAATATCAAATTCTACAAAACCGTTCACTAAGCTTGCGATTAAATTTCATATTTGAAATCACCAAAGAAATCAGATATCAACTGTCATAAATGTTGTTTATTTTGCTCAAATAGCATTATAAAAAGCTTATTATTCAGGCTAGATCAGCCAGTGCGCATGCAGTCCTAAACGCATGTCTCAAAACGCTGACTGTTTCTATAGCAACCGGGACTTTTAACGGCAGCTGCAGTGATGCGCTGACTTTACCGATTAGCTCCTTCATTCAGAAGGCGGGGCTTCCTGCGATTGAGCGGCCATATTGAGAGTTGCATTTTCCCCATTCAAAACTATACGAGTGACACGTCTTGGGTATTCTATAGTCTTTGCTAATAATTTCCACTGTTCTTATCAACTTTGTGTTTGAAATGAATTTCGTTTTGTGAGGAGAACTGTTGAGGAAAAATAATAGAACCCAATTTTAAATTCATCATGGTGAAGTTGTCCATTCTGGCGGTGATTTTAAGAATCATGTTGATGTCATATAGCCTAGTAATGTCTTGAATAAAATATGCCTATTTTCCGATGTTTCTCTATCTTTTTGGCATTATCGCCTAGACACATTGCATGATGGTAAATTTAATTTCCTAGATTATAACAATTGTAGCTATTGTTTTTAAACTTGTAGTAAAGATGTAACGTATTTGACATTTACCATCTATGACTAAAATCATGCAGGGTTTAAAAACGAATTCAGAGCAAAAGTGTTAGGGTTAGGGTTAACCTAACCCTAAGTGTTACGTTTTTTTCCTTTTTGGTACTAGTTCGGAGATCTGGCCCGTTTTTAACTACATAAAAATAACGGCTTTTAGCCATTTAGAAGCAGGAGTAATTTAAATTTCATTTTTGTATTTTAATTTTTTACATTTTTATTTTATTAATCAAAATACAACGCCCACAATATAATATGCAGTGTTGGGCTGCCGAAACTCTGACGCGTGCATGTTGAGGGGCGAGCTGAGAAGCCTATGTCTTCATCCGTTTGCAGCAATTTTTTTTTTACTTACAGATGTAAC